AAAAAAACACAGATCACTGGCCACACTGATTCAGGAGGTCTGAGGTTTGCCTGGGAATCTGTGTTTCTGGTGGCATTCCCATGTGCTGCTGTGTCCTGCCAGCTTGAGTGGGACCCCACTTTGAGAACTGTTACTGCAGATGATACCAGCCTTTCAAACCTCCTCAGGCCACTGTAACCCAGGAGTTCCCAAACTGTACCCTCTTCCCCATCTTGTCCGGCTTCACGGTCTACTTGGACAGGCTATGTATTTTATGTTTTTATTCAACTTGGCCCCCTCTGAGGGTTCAAGAACGTTTACTTATAAAAGGTAGCTTTCCTTGTCCGCCACTTGCAGAGAACTTGACCACTTACTTCTGCCTTGAACGGAAGCAGGAATCAAATTAAACACAATGGAAACAGAGCAAAGTGAGACCTGCCAGCGGAGCCCTGATGCTGGCCCGAGACTGTTGTGGAGAATGCTCTCTGTCGGAAAGGGAGATGTCAGGGGGAGGGGAAACATTAGGGACGGAGGGCACCACCTGAAACTTTGGCCTTGCTAGGCACGGAAGGAAGGAACGGTCCTGGGTTGGTGAGCTTTGCTGCTGGGTCTGTGCCAACGCTCAGTCACCTAGGGGACCAGCCGGGATGGGATGCTCACAATTCAAGGGACACTACTCATTCCACAGTGATCTGTTCTCCAGTGAAAACACCACCCTGTTGCACTCCTACACCCCGCAGCCTGTGGTAGGGAATCCAGACTCACTAAGAGCTCACCCCACTCCAGGGCAGACCCTTGCTGTTCCTGAATCTGGCCCTGAACTCAGCCACTTCTTGTCTTTCTCCGTGGGTGCCAGCCTTCTCCTACCTCTGGGCCTTTGCACACACACATGATACCTCCACTCGGGCTCCATCGCCAGCACCTCACCCACTATCACCTTTCCCTGCCAGAGAACACTGCTTCTTTGGTCCAGAAAGATTTCTCAGGCTCTGATCAAGTCAGCTGGATGCCAGCGACAGAGTTCCGGGTGGGCTTTTTCCAATCCGAAAGGACGCTGGGGCAGGGCCCATTCCAGGACCACGTGACTGCAAGTGAAATGGAAGCCCGGGCCCTGGCTAATAGGACTCAGCTGGGTGAGCATCGTCCTGTGTACTGAAAGGTCGCCCGCTCAATCCCAGTCAGGGCACACGCCCAGGATGGCTGTTTGGTCTCAAGTCAGAGTGTATGCGGGAGGCAACTGGCTGATGTTTCTCTCTCTCTCTCTCCCTTCCTCTCTCTTGAAAATCAATTTTTTAAAAAAAATTAAAGAAATGGAAGCTTGATTCCTTTTCCGGCTTGGAATATTGTCATTCTGCATTCACAGTGGGACACGATCCAGACATTCACATTGAAAATGTGGGATTTCATAATTTATAATATTTGTTAAATGATGATCCAGAAGTTGCACAATCCTCTCCTTTCCCCCCGAATCTGTGGTTTCTGTCTAAGCTGACACAGCACTTGAGACAATGGAGAAGATAAATCTCCTTCAGGCTGAATCACGAGAGACAGTCTGTCCTCACAGTCTTGAAAGGGGGGTGTCTGTCTGCGAGTGCCCACAGTGGCACGGCCCGGGGTACAAAGCCAGGTGCTCCTGTGACTCAAAGCACCCAGATGCCAGATTTCCCTGCACCCATGGCACAGGGCCTTGACCGATGCTGAAATGAGAAGACCTGAGTTGATGCTTCTTTAAGAAGGGAGTCAAGAAAAGAGAACATGGTTCCTCAATACGTTCACGTGACCCAGCAATTCCACTCCTGGGTATAGACCCAAAACAGGTGTTTAAAATAGGTGTTTAAACACAAACACGTACACAAGTGTTCATAGCAGCAGCATTCACAATAGCCAACATGTGGACACATTCCAAACATCCATCCACGGAAGAATGGAGGCACGAAATGCAGTCTAGCCATACAATGGAATATGACTCAGCCATAAAAGGGAATGAAGCCCTGACACCACCACATGGATGAACCTGGACAACATACTAAGTGAAAGACCCAGTCACAGAGGGCCACATGTGTGTGAAATGTCAATAATAATAAATCCATAGAGACTGAATATAGATCAGTAGTTACCTGAGGCTGGGGAGGAGGGGAAGGGGAGTGACTGCCAATGATGACTATGAGGTCTCCTTTGCAGGCAATGAAAATGTTCTGGAATTAGACAGTGGGGATGTTGGCACAGCATTGCGAGTGCACTACATGTCACTGATCTGTACACTTTAGAAAGGCTAATAGGGGAGCTTTTGTGTGTATGCCTATTTTACCACAATAAAACCACCTTTTTTTCAAGGGAAAGAGAAAGAAAATAGGGCATGGCTGGCCCTACCAAACGCCACCCAGATCTGCCTGGCCCTCCCCAGTTCCAGAACAAAGCCGTTCCATGTGAGGGGCCCCAGAGCCCCGTCTCATGAAGGCCTGAGAACCTGTTCCGCTCAGGGAGCCGGAGCTGAAATGGAACGACGCCTGTGTTGTACTTTCCTTTCTTGACAAGCCATCAGCCCTTTGAGTGATGCTGGGCTTGCACATCTGGGACTGATCAAAAACCAGTGAGTTTGCAAAAGAAAAAAGGGGAAAAGGCCTCGTAGGTTGGGAGTGAGCAGACACAGAGGCACCTCCCATGCGCAGTAAATTACACTGGTGACAGAGAGAAGAAATGTTCCAGGTCCCGCAGGCCAAAGGGGTCAGCGCTACGGGTCCTGCCTCTGAAAGCCAGTTTTCAAAGGCAACTGAGTCACAGCCAGAGAGCCCGCGTGGGGTGTTTGAGGGAGGGAGGAAAGGTGGGAGCTCCCAGAGGCCTCAGCTCTTCCACCAGGGCTCCGTTCCCGCCCCCAGCCAGCCAGCTCCTCTCTCCCATCTGGAAACAGGACTCTGGGAGACAGGGGAGACCTGGGTCCCAGGGCAAAGCTCTCTGCACTGATAGCAGGACCTGTTGGTAGAGTGGGGTGTAAGCCCCCATGTCAGTGTGTCCCCTCTGCAGACCCACCCCTCATCCAGGCAGGGACCTCGCTCCCACGTGGCAGGAGAAGCCCGACCAGCAGCAAGCTCTGCTGGGACAGTCAAGCGGCTTGCCACCCGATGAGCATGCTCTTCCAGAATCTGTGGCAGGACCCAGCCAGGATGGCAGCTCTCCCCTGCCCTGGCTGTGTCATGCTGGGTTCATGCCCTGTCACTCCAAGCCCCAAATTTCCTCCTGGTCCAAAGGAGGACGGGCCAGTACCACCTCAGTGAGAGCATCCACGTGAAACCCTGGGCATGGCCGGCCCGTCGTGCTGGGTGAGTGTCAGGCTGGTATGATCATAAATATCATTACTATTCCAACTCCTACATCTTAAGAGACTCTGTAAAAATCATAATGACCCTCTCCATTCTCCTCGCAGGGTGCAGTGTCAGGGGCTTGAGGCTTGGGATCAACCCAGCTGACAGCAGTTTTACCTGGAGACCTTCCAACACAAATAACACCTGTGTGACAGTCAGAGGTAGGGGGTGGGCAGAGAATTATCTTAAAGGAGGCAGGACCCAGCGGTTGAGTGGGGTCTGCAGCTAGACAGACCTGGGGGTGACCGCATGGCACGCCTGCTTGGGGACCTTGGTACGCACTTCGCCTCTTTGAGTCTTGATTTTCCTCATCTGTGAAATGGGCACCAAGAGGCCTGCCACCCAGGTGTGTTGCAGGGATGATAACACAGGTAAAGTGCAGGGCCTCATACCTGTCACACCAGCAGAACAGTTCCCATACCTTCTGCTCCTCCCATGTGGAAACAGATCAGAGGCAGAGGCAGAAAGGCAGGTACACAAAACACAAAGAACCCCCTCTGTCATTTGGGGGAGGGGACCTGCCCCTCATTTTTTTCTGCAGGACCCTGTCAGACTCTGCACCCTGGATGCCCTGACCCGACTGGGAACGGTGGCTCACCCTGTTCTGCCAGAATAAGGGGCTCAGATGCTCAGGGTAAAAACTCACAAACCCACTCTGGGAAGCTGGGTGTTTGCACAGGCTCCCCAGTTGCTTCTCTCAACCAGAGCAGCAACTCCCCTTTTGGCTAAAAGATGCCCATTTCAAGTTAGACTTCAATGGGCAGGCATCGGCTAAGGAAGCCCTTTCTGGCCTGTCCCCCAGCCTAGCACTTGCCAAGGGAGGCTCTGGGTGTGCCCACATGCAGGGCTGGCCCTGGTTCTGTCCATCTAGGGCAGCCCATCTCCCCTTCACGGGACTGCAGAGCCAAGCCCCCGGCTCTCAGCAGAATCTTCTCCACACAGGGGGTGTATGCAGATGCCCACTCCAGCGGAAGGTGCCCAGGAACGCTGACACGCCCCAGGCCTGGAGCCACGCACGGCCACGATGGCCATCGGGAGCATGGGAGGCAGACAGAGCTGGGTTTCAAGCCCTGGCTCTGCCCAGACAATTCACTTCACCTCTCCAATCCCCAGTGTCTTCATCGGAAATAGGAGAAGAGGAAGGCTACCTAGAGGTTTGTTGCAACTGAAACAACACAAAGGGGTGTGGTCCTGTACACGGTGGAGCAACATGCACACACCGTCAATATCACCCCTGCGTCCTCAGGTGCACAGAAACATTCAACCTCCTGCCCCCTCTACCCTGCCAGCTTTCCATCGACGGACTCCTCGCGTGTACACAGGAGCACAGCAAATGCTAGCGAGCTGCACTGGACAGCAAGGGCACACAGCCTCCAGCAGCGCGGGTCTGCAGCCAGACTGGCTTTGAGCCCGGCTCCCTCACTCTCTCCCTGGCTGTGGTCTTGGGCAACTAACTGGCTTGCCCTGGACTAGCCTCAGTTTCTCCAGCTGTGATTCGGCGAGACGCTGAGCCTGGTCCTGGGATGCAGGTAGACGCTCCGTTTGGTGCTTGCACACGGTAAGTAAATCCTGAGAGCTGGCATCTGCCCTGGATACTTCAACTCGGAGATTACGGAACGGATCAAAGCTTGGAGAGAGGACAGGGATGGAAGTCACACTTACCGACCTGGGCTCCAATCAGCAGTTCGCAGGCGTCTCCCGCGGTATGCAGCGGCGGCAGCGGTGGCGGCAGCGGCAAATGCAGCGGCAGCGCGGGCACAGGGAGACAGACCGGGCACAGGACACCGGACACCCCGGCAGCCGAAGGAAGCTGTGGATTCGGGGACCCGGACCGCGGCTTCTTGTATGCTGCCCCAGAGCCCGGAGGCCACGCCCCCCGGGGGGCCGGCGGAGCTGATAGGGCCGCCCCCGCCCCCAGGCCCCGCCCCTCAGGCCCCACCCCAGCCCGCCCCGCCCCGCCCCGCGAGCCCCGCGAGCCCCGCCGGCGTCCAGGACCACCCGCACCCTGAGAGCTCGTTTGGAGCAGAGGACGCGCTCCGTTTCCTCATCGTGACCATAAAAGTATCGGTTCCACTGAGGGCTCGCTTAGGGGCCCGGCGCGGAGCCAAGCGCTTTCCACTAGAGGTTTGCAAATTTACCAAAATGCCTTCTCCGCTGGAAAATGGGAATAGGGATGTGTCCTCCCTCCCGGGATTGTGCGAATGAAATCCGGAAGGGCGTGGGCTCCGCGAACCGTGGCGCAGAATACACACTTGCTATATTTACTCCCATCCTCTGCACAGGGGTAGAACTTCACGCACGCCACCCCGACTCCACGTCCGTCCGTGTCTCTCTGCCTCTGCCTCTCTGTCTTCTCTCTCCGTGTTTGTCTCCTTTCTTTGTCTTCCTCTCTCTTTCCCTCCCTGTCTCCCTCTTTCTCGCTGTCTCTTCTCAAAGTGCAAACGAAGAAACGAAGACTAGGAGATGATACTGGATGAGAACAGGAAGACCCCTCACCCATGTTCTAGGCTAAGTGCCTTTAACCTTCATTATCCAAATACATACATGTTCACAGGAATCCAGTGAGATGGAAAGTATCCCATTTCACAGATTTAGCAAGTGAGGCCTGGAGAAGAGAGCCCCACAGCAAGGGGGCAGCAGCACAGGGTCAAATTCTGCTCTTACTACTGTCACAAAGCAATTTGGAGCCGAGAAGAAATAGCCTTCGAAGCATGTAAGCCCAAGGCTGGAGAAGCTGAAAGGCTCCCTCTCAGTCACATGGCCAGTCCCCCTGCCGCATGAAGACATTGGAATCAGCTCCTTCATCGCTCACACCTTAGTCACTCCCACTGAATCACTCGCACCAGCCCCAGTGCTATGCCCGCAGGCTCAGATAAGACCCCTCTGGGACCTCAGGGCCTGGGTCAGAGCTTACGGGGAACACGGATGGAGGACGCCTGGGGCAGGGATGAGGGAAGATGCCTCCGTGACTGGTGGGGCGTGTGTGACATTGATTCAGAAAGCCGGAAACTCTTGCCTAAGATTTTGATGCAGCTCAAATGAGATATAGAATAATGTAGACATCCTCTGTTGCCTTTTCTTTTTTCATTTCTTTTACTTTTCTTTTCTTCTCTCAGTTTTTGAAACATTCTCTGCTTGACATTCAATCATTCAATACTTATCAAGCACCTATGTGCTGGGCTCTGTTCCAAGCATCGATGTATTCAGGGGTGAGCCAACTTGTTCGAGAACAGTGCTCACTTGGACAAAGGGCAAACCTTGTGCTATTAACAGATGCCCCTCAGGTACCCAGCCCCATGTGTAGCATCCTGTCCACCCACAACAATCCTCTGAGACTGTAATCATCAGGAAACTGGGCACAGAGGGTGTAAGTAACCTTCCCCAGGCCACACAGCTCCCAAGTGGAGGAACTGGGATTTGAACTCACACTCTTGCCACTGCACTGCCACCACCCTGTGTACCATTAAACTTTGGGTACAGCCCGGCCCATGTGTCTCAGTGGTTGAGCATCAATCAGGAGTTCATCCTTTGATTCCCATTTGGGGCATATGCCTGAGTTGCCTGCTCAATCCCCAGTAGGGGGCGTGCAGCAAGCAGCTGATCAGTGATTCTCTCTCACCATTGATATTTCTATCACTCCCTCTCCTTTCCTATCTAAAATCAACAAAAATCTTTTTTTTTTAATTAAAGAAATTTTTTAAAAAAACAAATACATGTGTTGGGTACAGGGAAATGCAATAAACTGGGTCCAGTCCAGCAGAGGGAAAGGGAAACTACACAGGATCTACCGTATTTTTCGGACCATAAGACGCTCCGGACCATAAGATGCACCAGTTTTTAGAGAAGGGAAATTAAGAAAAAAAGATTCTGAAACAAATAGTGTCCTAAAATATTTTATGTGCATTAAAACCCAACATCACAGTCATAAACACATGTAATCAACCCTGTAAAGTAAACAGCAGCATTTAGAACCATTTTAGAGCCGGGCAAGCACACAGGGACCACACAGAGCCAGGCAAGTAAAAAAACTTTTTTTTTAAAGTATATGTGTAGGCTGTATTTGGACCATAAGACGCAGGGACTTTTTCCCCCCACTTCTGGGGGGAAAAAAGTGCGTCTTATGGTCCGAAAAATACGGTAATTTCTCATGGGCACAGCATTGGCAGGGGGAGGGGGTATTAATTCTGAAATATTTACACACTCTAACTTGGACCTCCACCCCCTTAATGTTGCTTTTTATGGCAACTCTGCAGGCTCCTTGCTGACCCAGGATAGCTCCGCAGACACTCTTCCCACTGGCAGAGCTGCAGCCTGAGGGCACCTAAACCATGTCATTCCCCGGCCAGGCTCCCAGCTCCCCTCTGGCCTGGCAGCCACTGCCCCAGCACCTGCACACAACAGAACCTTCCAGACCCCCGCCCAATTCTCTCCCTCAGCATCTTCTTGCCTCTCCCTCTGTGGTCTTCTCCTCATCTGCCTCATTGCTTCTGCCTACCCCACTGAGCCTCCCTGGCCTGGCATCTGGCTGTGCCCACCCCTGCCTGCTGACTTTAGCAAGCACTTCCGTGTGCCAGGCGCTGTGCCAAGGGCTTCCCTAGCAGCAGCCTGTGAACCTCTCACAACCCAGTGAGGGAAGTGGCTATTTTTGGCCTTGCTTTCTACATGGGGAAACTGAGGCTCAGGCAGATGAAGAAACTTGCCCAGGGTCACTTGGCTACTGAGAGATGGGGTTGGGACTCCAACTCCGGCAGTCCAAGCCCAGTGCCCATGACCTTGACCTCTAAACCAGGTGTCCTGAAGGGATTAGGGAGTTTGGGTTTGCTGTAGTGGGAACCCATTTGGGCATTTCTGAGATATTTCATATCTCTCTTAGCCAGTTGGGCCAGCAAGTCTCAAATGGGATGTTATGGTTATTACTGCTGTGTAACAAATTATTCCTAAACATGGTAGCTTCAAACAACCACTCTACTTTGATGGTAATTTTGTAGGTCAGGAGTTTGGGACAGGCCCAGTTGGATAGTTCTTCCTTGGGGGTCTCTCACGAGGTTGGGAGGGGCTGCAGACATCCAAAGATTGGACTGAGCTGGGATCCCAGCTGGTTCACCCATGTGGTGGGGTGTGTGACCTTTTATGACCTGTCATTGGAAATCATATAGAATATCACTCTGCCATACCCTTGGTCAAATCACAGAGTCTGCCTAGAGTCAAAGAAGAGAGGATATAAACACAGTTCTCAACAGGTAGAGATCAAAGAATTTGTAGACAAGATACATAAAAACACATAGCTCAGTGCCTGGCATGGAGCACTCAATGAAAGACAATTCATCCTTCATAGGGGGCCAAGTTAGTACGGTGGAAGGAGCACTATGTTTGCATCTAGACAGATGAGTTTGAATCCTAACTCCACTAGCCGCCAGCTGTTCAAGTGGCCTGACCTCTCTGAGCTATAGTTGCCTCCCAGGTGGGGTCACCTAGGGGCAGACGGAGTCGTAGCCTGCTGGTTGCTGCCATTGTCTGGAACCAGTCGGGCTGGGTTCCGATCCTGGCTTCTCCACTTCCATGTTGTTGGCCTTGTGTTCGGGTCCCTATCTGTAACATGGCAATGGCCTCTTTCTCCCCCAGGCTGTTATTAAAATATTAAATGGTTTATATACAGAAAATAACTAGAAAAATTATTCAATAGAATAATACCTGCCTGTAGCAAGTATTCGTTAATATCATTGTTAATAGAGCCAACAGAATAAAGACACAGGAAAGCTTAACTATGATCAACTTTTCCATCACTGTGTAATCTTAGATTTTCCAAAATTAACATTTGACTTGGAGTAAGATGGTGTGTCATGGGCAGCATCGGCTCCTGGGAGGTCCTGCCTGGGAAAGAACCAAGATGCACCCAAGCATCTTCATGGAAGGGACTGGCCACGGATATCCTTGGAATCCAGCAAAGGGATTTCCCTGTTTGCTTCCCAGGCAGGAATTAAGTCATGGAGAGTTTGAGATGAAGGAAAAGGCCCTTCTGAAGAACCGAAATGAAGCCAACCTGAATAAAGGAACATGTGGGCCTCGTCATGACCTCTTAGAGAGGCCTCCCCCTCTGCCAACTGCTCTCTCTCTCAACCAAGATGGGCCAACGACAGGACCACACACCTTGAGTGCAGAATGGTGGGGCTGCACCAGGTGCTCTGAAGGTTTAATCATTTGAAGCAAAGATTAAGGTCTTTCTTTCCTATCTCAACGTGGTAGACACAGGGCTGGTATCACTGCCATAACCTTGATCAAATCGCGGAGACTGCCTAGGGTCCCAGGAGAAGATGGCACCAACATCTTCTTTGCCTCTTGTTTTCCCTGGAGTCTCATGAGCTGGACATCAAGAGCCGTGGCCGGGGAGGGCCAGCTTCTTGTTTGTCCTTGACCCGCCCATCCAGCAGCTGCAGCCTCAATCCGGCTTTGAAGACCATGAAGACCTTGAGCCAAGGAGATACGGGGCATCCTTCTGTGATGAGCGTGGCTTGGAAGGAGAAGCCAAAAGGAAAAGAAAGATGGTGGCACCTCGGCATTGACAGACGCCCATCGTGTGATCCTCTGGGCGTGTGCCTGACTTACTGGAAGGAACTGATGGGCTAAAGCTGATAAGATAAGATAAGATAAGATAAGAACTAGCGTTAGTCCTTGAAGGGTTTCTCAGCATCCTGGCAGTACCATGCATTTCCCCCTCTCAGTAGAGGGGTCCCTTCCTTCTCCCTCTGTAGCCAGGCCTCACCTATTCCCTGTGAACATGACCATCCCACCAGCATAGGGTTCACGGGGACTAGCACAGGCTGCGC